TGTTTTTTTTATCATACTTTTTTTTTTTTTCAAAGCTAAGAAATTTAGCACTTCTAAAATAGACCCTTCTGGATTTCTAAAGTCAGGAAAGTTTAAGACAAAAAAACCAAAATTCAGCATACTCAAGAGATAAGGCAATGAAAGGCCAAACCAACTATTGAAGTTAGCCTTAGGGTTAAAAAAAACCAGCAACAACAAAAACATTCTTTCAAAGATTCCTTTTGAACTGAATCTGTCCTAAGTTTTTGTTTGGGAAAGGCCTTCAACCACTCATTTCCAGGCATCCTATAACTGTGAATGTTAGTTGCTCTGTGCTCAGTTCTACATGTGAAATGTGTCCATATGGTTTGAAATGGTGGACACTGAATCTCAGAATTGGTAAACATGTATTCAAATTTACAATCTACCTGGTGTCAACAAAGGCCCAAGTTCACCACTACCAGTGGTTTGTTCTCTCAATTTTAATGTTTTAGGCTTCAGTGCTATTTAAAGGAAGCCTTAATTTATTCTTGACAATAATCACCTGCGAGGGATTAATATAAGAGGATGATTATTTAAGTAAGGATATGAAGTCTGACTTCAGATCTTCTTGAAAAATGTGCTTTTCTCTTTGTTTATTTCCATTCCACTACAAGATATACTTCAACATACTTGAAGTAACATGGTTGTTGCATAGAGACTTTTTTTCTAAATAACTGCCAACTCATTACCTCACTGTAGAGGAATGTGATATTTCTAGTATTCCACTTTAGTGACTAGATTAAATAACTGATGAAAGCCTGTTACTTTGATGCTATTGCTTGTTGTCTTATATTAATGTTTTACTAAATATCCTGCTTTTGTGTTTATTTTTAGTATGTTTGTTTATATACAGTATTTTCCTGCTTCTGTCTTAAAAACCTTTGCATTTAATTCTGTGCAATTCCTTTCTTAGGGAATGGCACTTATAAAAATATTTTGTGAGACCATTGTTCATAGTTGAAGTAACACTTAGAGTAGTTGCTTAATTGTCTTGTGTTATGACTTGAAGTTCTCCCTCAAAATGGGCTTTTAAAAAATATTTTTGAAAGCTTGAGTAATTACTTTAATAAAAGCCATGCAGAAAAGCACTGAGCAGTAGAAGAGCTGAGAACAGAGTGAAGGTCATTTGTTTGATGTTCTTCTGAAACTGGACATCCTAGAGCTTGCTGAAGAAAGCAGGATTTCATTCCTCTACCTTTTCAACTGGATGAATGAGTTTAGCACAATAACCAATCAATCTTTAAATAAGAAGATGCAGCTGACAATCCTAGCACAATAGCCAATCAAGCATGTTACCTTAATCTTTAAATAAGAAGATGCAGCTGACAATCTGTATTTGTTCCTTTAGCTGCATTTTGAAATGTAAAGCATTAATTCACTAAGTCATACAAACTTAGCATCCAGTGTTTGTACAGCAGGCCTTTTCTTGTTTATTGGGGTTTGTTGTTTTCTGTTGTTTTTTTCTTTTTGGGGGCATGGAGTTTTACTCATTTTTTGCACTTTGTTTTCCTAAGAGGCTATTTAGACAAGGAATTTCTGATGGGTCTGGGTTAATTACTTTTCTGATATGTTGATCCATTAATGAAACGATCTTTTAGAAAACACTAAGTTTTAGAAAGCCATCAGATTTAGTATAAAGTTCAGATGTCACAGTTTTATTATTTTGTTTTTTGGTCACAGAATAGTAGGGGTTGGAAGGGACCTCTGGAGATCATCTAGTCCAAACTCCCCTGCTAGAGCATTATTTAAGAAAAAGAATTCCTTTTCATTTGCTGTAAAATGTCACAATGTTGCAGGTGAAAGCTGCAAGGCAGGTGCTGAGTTGTGTGGAGGAGCAAGCCCGTAACTTCTGCGTGGTTTGTCCTTCGGATCAACTCGAGGGCCCCAGTAGGGCGCCCCAGGAGCGTTTCATCCCTGCCTGCTTGGGCAGTGCGGTGGCAGCGCTGCCTCGGGAGCCGGGCCTCGGAGTCAGGCCGATGCCCGAAGGGGCGGGGGTGGCGGGGCGGCTGGGAAGGGGCGTCCTGGGGCAGGTTCCCCGGGGCAGGTTCCCCGGGAGAGCGGCAGGGGCCTGGGGGGGGCTGGCCCGGCCCGGCAGGGCGGGCCGC